TAGCACCATATGAACAGGCTATGATGGTTCGTGCCTGTAATTCTAGCACATAGGAGGTAGAGACAGGAGTCAGATGCACCACACCCTTTCTCAAAAACAAAACAACAAAATCACCAGTACCCAAAAACTCTAAAAGGTGTATGTAACTATGGAGTGGAAGAATTAGTAAGCACATCATGGATTGCCATATTCCAAGCCTATAACATTCTTTTTCAGTTTTTAAAAATAAATTTTTATTAAATCTTTGGAAATTTCATACAATGAATGCATTTTGATCATATTCACCCCCTCCCCCATCTCCTCCTTGAGCCACCCCAATCTGTGTGGCTTAGGTTGGTCTCAAATTCTGTGTGTTCCAGACAGGCCTCAGACTTGTGATTTATCTGTTTCTGCCTTCCAAGTCTTTGAGACTATAGAGAAGATACGTTTTTTAAAAGTGTTTCAAAACTTTTCAAAAAATTAAGCTTAAATTTTGTGTATGAGTGTTTTGCCTGCATATATGTCTATTCAGCACACGCCTGTAGTCTTCATAGAGGCCATGAGAGGGCATTAGATCCCCTGGAACAGGGTTAGAGATGCTTGTTAGCTACCTTGTGGGTTCTTGGAACTAAACCTGGATCCTGTACCTTAGACTAACAAATGTCCTTAGACTAACAAGAACAGCATGTGTTCTTAATTACTGAGCATTCCTCTCAACCCTCCTGGAAGGATTTTTTTTTCTGAGTTGGGAATGAATCTGGAAGTATTGCTTAATGCTTGCTCAAGGAAGGAGATGGTACTTCCTTATGGCAGATCGAAAATGCTTATTGGGAGGATGCGATTTGAACTATATTTTGAAGAATGGATTTGGAAAAAATAAACTGTATATTCTAGGCAGAAGAAATTTTATGATCAAAGACAGGAGAGAGTCAAGGTACAGTGTTAGGTCAGAGATTAAAACTCAGGCATCATGTGGGCCAGGCAGGTAACCCTGATGACACCTACATTAACAGATGGCACCCTTCATGAGTAAGTTGAAAAGAATTGTCAGTGTTTTTAGCATAGCATATATTTATGAATATCCAAAATTAAAATTTTACAAAGGAAGAGATGAGCAAGTACTGAGTAAGTTCTGCTCTATTGGATTGGTTGGTTGTTCATTCTAAGAGAATGAAGCTCATCTTCCTTCTTGGAGACATGTAGTCTTCATCTCGGAATGTTAGTTTTTGTTTACACTAAATCTAGTAACTTCTACTTTTGAACATCAGTGGGTATTTGATACTTTCATTTATTGTGTGTATGCATATGATGAGAACCAACCCTGGGGGTCCTTCTGTTCTGTTCTATTTTGAGTTCAAAAAAAATTTTTTTATAGCCTCGCCAACCCATTGACACCTCCTTAGAGCAGTCCTTTCCCGAAGTTTTTCTCCCCTGGAACAGTAACATATATATTTCCAGTTGATGGATTTGATGTCATGTCTCAGGATCCTAGTAGTCAAGCTTTTACCAAATGCATTACTGTAGTTTGCTTCATGACAGGCTTCTCTACTTCGATTGAAGGCTCCAGCTCTCTCAATCTCATTTTTCTTCGTCATTTTAACATTGACAGTACGCCCACTGGTCACAGGTTTTTCAGATATGTTTCCTTATTCATACCCTTTACCTGCCATGGCAGTATCAAGAGAACTCCACTGCTCATGGGCTCTGTCAGCTTCAGTAGGAAATGTATATTGAACAAGCATCAGAAAGCATGATAAGGAATGCGTGTGAAGCCGTCAGTCATCCATGCTCCCACTCCTGTCATTTTTAGCACTTTCTGCTCTGCCTGAGAACTCAGTGTACCGACAGGGTGGACAACTAAAAGACAGATGAAATGGTTGATTTGTTTGGCTTCTAAATGCAGATGGGACAGGTAATTAAACAGCTGTGCTCCTGCAGCAGCGGGACATGACATCCCAGAAATCAAGCTGCACTCTATTTAGATTCTGAACTAATATTAGGTGGGCTTCCCCCAGATTGACAGATTTCGTAAACATCATTTCTAGTTCATCGTGATTGAAGATGAAGCATGTATTTTGTTTGCAGATTAAGTTTTCTAGAGAGAGTATGGCATTTACAGATACCTGAAAAAGAAAAAAAAGCCTTAAAGGGTTCAGTTTTATGTGTGGAGAGCCAGAGATGCCATGAGTGAGTCTGTCCTGATGCTGTCCTGTTTTTGTCTTCAGTGTCACATGGAGGTGGGGGCTGGAAGGGAGATTTCTATCCTTTTACCTTGTATGGGGTGTGTAGTAAACATCCTTGTATTTGGATAGCGGCTTTTTTATATATGTAATGTAATTTGAGTAGTTATTATTTCCATATAGAAATAATCACCACACCATTTACTCATTTGCTCACATACATGATTTCACAGTTACCCCTTTTGTTTCCTGTGTACATGAGCTCTCAGCAGACTGTTCATAGAGCTAACTCATCTTATCTCTCAAGTATCGCTTCACAGGCCTCATTCTCTCTGTGACTATTTGGCCAGTTTTACAAACTGATCTCCACCAGTTGTGTTCCTATGTTAAGATGCAGCACATCTCCTTGACAACACTTCCTGCGATTAGGACACAGTTGCTTATCACTAGCAGTCATACTTGGTTTCATTCTTTGCATCTTTACTGTATAGACTCGTTTGAATCATGTATCTGTTGGCTGGTAGAATGTTCTCTTAGACATTGCTTTCTTTCTGCCACAGTAGGTGTTGCTTCTGAAGGCCAAGGTTGTTCCCTTTCATCCACCTTGCCTATCTTGTTACTCAATGCCTTCCAAGCACTATACAGCCTGAGCCTAGATCTATGGTAGATTAGTGATATAACAGTTTGTAGCCCCCAGGAAGAGAACATGTTAGCATTTACCGATGTCTGTGGCATACATACTCTGTCCTGACTAGCTCTAAGCTGTGAAAGTAGCATCATTGATGACTAAATTGGGAAGCATCTGACAAGGCTTATTGTCACACAGGCTCCTCTGCAGGTCCAGGACCTGTCCCAGCTGTATTTGGCAACCAAACAAACCAACCTTTTCATCAGTTGCCTCAGTTGTCCACCTGATTGGTATTCTCTGAGGTGTGGAAATATTTATGTCTTACAGATATATATCACTTCAGGGAAATTAAATAGTAAAATATAATTAATTAGGAAGTTATGACTTTGAGTACTTATTATTTTTATTTTTCATATGATTTAATTGTAACTTTCTACAACTTAATTTCAGGGCTACATTTGACAGCTTTCAGAATTTCTGGAAATTAAGCAATCTTTTTATTATCCTGTTCAAGATAGCCCCAGCACCCCAAAGGAGATGGTCTCTAAGAGACACAACTCTGTATCATGCAGTGTGGCTTACAAAAGAAAGGAAGGCAGGGCCTAAGGATTGGCTGGGAAACTTATTACAGAAACATTTACCTGAGAGTCTTAACTCACCTCTGCTGAATGAACTAAGGAAGTGAGCCAGCTCCTACCTTAGTAGATGTGATTTGATAGTGACTACTCAAGAGAGTGATTTGGCAGCAATGAGAAATAAATCAACAGGAGGAAGAGTAATGAAAACAACCCAGCTCTAGAAGAGGGTTCTAGAAGAGCCCAGGGTGCTTGGTGGTTAAGAGTAATCTTTTTCAGAAAGCTAGCCTGGGGCCAAAGTCCCTTGTGCCTATTGTAAACTCTTAACTGAACTACTTGCCACTCCCCATCTGTCTGCATGACTATCCTTGGATAGAAGTGAGCCCCAGGTGGAGACTGGAGCAAGTCCTATGCAACTCTGGGTGTTACAGCCAGGTGGATAAAGGAAGGCAGCAATTCAGGGATGAAGGAAATGGACAACAGGGAAAAGCCACACTGGGAGTGCACTATGCCTGTAGAGGATTGTCTCCTATCTATAATAGTTAGAGGTGGCCCTGGTATATAGATAAAAAGACTTTTGATACACTGAAGGTAAAATATCATACAGTGTTTACCACATTTGAGTTTAGGCAGCTATGATGAAACTCATTGGTTCCAGCTTGAAACCTGGCTTGGTGAATGTCCCAAAGTTTTATAGCCAACAAAGATGAATGCAAGCTAAGATACTCATTTTTCTGACATGAAGTCTTTCAGTATTAACTCATAAAAAAAATTGTGTTCAACATTTGAAGAATCCTTCAAAATACACAGAAGCAATCCCCAAGTAGACATGATTGCTTACCCCACATCAGTAATGTTCTCATGAAGGCTGACTGAATAGAAAGGGTGTCTGTTAGAAACTAGTTCACATGGCATCCAGTGTATCATCTTCAGTGCCTGGCACTGTTTGGGGCAGTCAGGAAAACAGGGTTGCATGTGGGTACACTGGTGCCCACCTGTAGCAATTGAGGATTGTGAATTGAAGCCATCCTATGCTGCATGGGACCCTGTCTTTAAAAAACCAAGAACTTGAGCTGTGGCTCAGTGGTAAAGCGCTTGTGTACCATTCCCAAAGCTCTGAGTATGTCCCTCACCTCAGGAAAGAAAGAGAAAATTATAAACACAGTGTGTTTGAGCTGAGATCAAGATGTGTTCAAATTGGTTCTGGCCTCACTTGGTTGTTCATTAACTCAGGGCATTCCTGGAAGTTTCATTATTTTGGTAGTAAAATGTAAGAGGAGGTTAATTAAGTAAGAAAGGGGAGTTGGGATGTTTCGGGATGCGGAACACTATTTAACAGTGTCACACAGCTTGTATACTAAGGACAAGAAGGTTGGGGAACCTGGAGCTGGGACTTAAAGGCAGGCTATTTTTGTTTTTATCTCTGTTCTCAGAAACTGAAGGGAAGCCACATGAGAATAGGAAGAGCAATTATTTCATAACTTTACTTTCTGCTTTTCCCCCGTATTGTCTTTTAGGATTGTAGTTATTGCTTCTAAGAGATGGAGTTTCAATGTCTAAATGATACCTAATGGGGGTTTGATTAACAGCTGGCCTGTGTCTCTTGTGTTTGATGTCATTGCTCTGTGCCTCCTGCAGCTGCTGCCTATTCACACTCTGAGACTTGGTATGGAAGTGGATTCCTTTGACGGGCACCACTATATCTCTTCAGTTGCTCCTGGTGGTCCTGTGGATACCCTGAACCTCCTACAGCCGGAAGATGAACTTCTTGAGGTAAAACATAAAGGGGAAGGAAAATACATGGCAAGAATTTAAAGTTCTAGGAAAATGTGTTCACCAGTTGACAATGTCATCAATGCTGATATAATGTGAGCCTAAGTAGATACCACATTTTAAATGTATTTTTCACTAACTATTAAGGCCTTTGAGTATCATTTTGAATGCTAGTCTAAATAATTGACCTAAAAGTTTGATAAACGTATATGAGTGTTTTACTTGCATGTATTTATGTACACTGTATACGTGCCTAGTGCCTTTGAATGTCAGAAGAGGCCTTCAGGTGCTGGGAATTGAACCTGGGAGTCCTCTACAAAAGCAACAGATGCTCTTAACTGTCTTGCCACCTTTCCAGATCCGTAGTTCTAGGTTCTGTTGGTTATTTCTGTAAGGATTACAGCTGAACAACCTCAGGCTTTTGCATGGCTTTAAGAGCGTCCCCTTGGGATTTCCCTCTTTTGGTGCCTTCCCTTTTGTTGACACTTGAGTTTAGTTTCTATGCTATCTATTCAAAAGTTCTTCCCCAATGCAGCATCTTGAAGTGTATCTCCTATGTTTTCTACTAGACATTTCTGTGTTTCATATTTGCACTTAGATCATTTTGAATTGATTTTTATACAGGGTGAAAAATAAGAGTCTAATTTATTCTTTTGTGGGTAGAAATACAGTTTTGCCAGCACCATTTTTTGAGTAGGCTATACCTATTAATGGGATAGCATGATAGTTTGATGAGTGGATGTTCTTTATCATTTAAGTCAGGTTGAACATATCTGTCTCCTCAAATATTCATGAGTCTTTATGGGAGAAAGGTAATTATTTTTAGATCACTGAAGGGAGTGACCTGGAACTGCTTATGGAAGATTTATGCTGTAAATTTTACTGGATAACCGAGGCTCTGTTTCTGGGCCTAAGATCATGTCTTTCCTGATTGGCAAGGTGTGTATCTTGCTTGAGACAATAATCAGGAGTCGAGAACATTGTGCAACTGAATTTACCAATTAATACTTTTTCATGTGAAATTCAGTGACCCAGTGTAAAAACACTTGATATATGATGGATGTTAGAGCAATGTTGAATGGGTTAGAGTAGATCAAGCATAATGCACACCATCCCTTAGCATATACCACCCTCACCTCTTACTCCCCTCCCCCTGACAACAGACTTCTCTGTTCTCCAGCTAAGGCTATAATACTCTGGGCTTCTACATTGAAAAACAATATGCTATAAAAGGAGTGTAAAATTTTGGGGGTGGAGGAGTGTGATGACTTTACACAGCTTCATAAACATGGTCTACTTTCTTGTTTTCATTTTTTTTTTTTTTTTTTTTGGTTTTACGAGACAGGGTTTCTCTGCATTGTTTTGGAGGCTATCGGTCCAGCCCAGCCTCGAACTCACAGAGATCCGCCTGCCTCTGCCTCCCGAGTACTGGGATTAAAGGGGTGCGCCACTACCACCCGGCCGGTTTTCGGTTTTCATTCTTTTTTAACCTACTCTTGTGCGTGGGAGGCAAGTGCTTTGCTCTGTGTTATTCATGGTGTCAGTAGTTTAACATCTAAAGTATAGATTTCTGGTAAAAAAAAAAAAAGTTGAGATACAGAAAGAAGCCTACATTGAAAGGCAGGGAAATACCTTGGGTTTTGGATTTGCCCACAGCCCTACATGTATTTATGATATTAGAAAATTGATTTCTTCATCTTCCTCCACTGTATGTGGGGGTCTAAAAAGCTGCCATCCATGTAAACTGTAAGACTTCTGTTACAAGGAGGATTGGCTGTTAATCGATTTGGCAGTCATGTTAGTAAGCTCATGTGTAAAGTCAGTGCTCTGGAAGCTTCTATTCATTTATGCAAATCTATAGAATTAAGACTAGATGGCATTTAAAAGATAGTCTCACATGGAAGGACTATGAGAAATACTGTGAATTCTAAAATAAAATCTGTTTCTGAGTAAGTGAATGTAGACATAAAAATCTTTGAAGTTCGCCACATAAACTTTTGGTTGGTTTTTCCCATCCCCTCTCCCTCTCCACCCCTCTCCTGCTTTTTCCCTCTCTCCCTCCTCCTTTTTCTTTCTCCCACCCCCAATTTGTTTAATGTACTTCTTCGAGCTTAAAACCAGAAACACAAATATGCTTTGGGGTTAGAGGACCATGCCAAGTCTCAGCCCAGAACAGCTATTTACAGCAGCCATAAATCCCCTTAGCTAGGAGTTGGTAATGGGAAATGTGACCAATCGTTTCAGCAGTAGGTAGTGAAGAGGACTACCAGGCACTGCTATAATAAGTGGAGACAATTCAAATGAATAAATAATGAGCAAAATAAATATTTAAAAGTACTCTAAGACAGAAACCTGAAAAGTGACTTTCTAATTTGTTGACGCACAAACTACTAATTGTATATAGGTAAAGTTTCTGTTTCCATTGTGTCTGCTTCCGTATTTAATAGAGGTTACTGTCCACTTGACTCTAGAACTTTCTGTCAGATATGATGTGAGCAGCGATAGCTCTCTGCCCTTCTGTGTACAGGTTGAATTGAATTCTTCCAAGGAAGCTTGCTCCTGGGCTTTTCCCCAAACTCCTTCATAGTCATGATGTTTTGAGAGAGGCGGAGAGGGGGAGAGAGATTGGGATTCTCTGTGGTGGTTTTGTTATTACTGTTATTACTCTGGATAATCAAGAGACAGGATGATGTGTCCTGTTTGATGCCTTTAACTGTTGGATGTGTTACAGACTTGAGAGTGGTTCCTAGGGATGGCATTGTCCATTCTTGATAGGATGTTTTTCCATAGTATGGTGGCAGATCTGTGGAAAGGTTGCTCCCGGTATAGATAACCCTGCCTGGTGTGTGAGCATTAGTGCCATACCTTTGAGAAACTGATGCCACAGTAGGTATACCACTAAATTGCTGCTAACCACTCTTAGGAAAGCAGAAGAGATCCAAAGAGATTATTGTTGGCTGGAATGTGTTCCTTCTTCAGCTGTTAGGAATATAGATAGGTTACTCTCAGTGACTTGTAGACAGAACTGAGAGAACTTTGAACTAAAACTCACAGGTGAAAATCTTAGTACATTAAAATCTAGATTTCTAAATCATCTTTGATTCAAAGCAGTATGTATGTATGTATGTATGTATGTATGTATGTATCTATCTATCTATCTATCTATCTATCTCTCTATCTATGATGTTTGGTGATAGGGATTAACATGGAAAAATTATCCTTTTGAAAGGTAGGGAGCACTCACTTGAACTAACCTTGGGAACTGCATACTACTGTGACGCTGAACTAACTAGCTCAGTGTATGGGAATGGAGGTGGTACCACTGACACCTATTTCTTCCTCGTAGAAGCGTTTGCTAAGGTGATGCTTTTGATGTGGGCTGAGGAAGAATGCTCTGACTGACAGTAAACTCCAGCTGCTGAGTGCCCTAGATATGGTCACATGTTGAAGGCAACAGACATACAGTGACAACATAGGAGGACATGAGTGTAAGGAGACTGGCAGGGACAGTCAGTGCATTTAAGGAGTGAAAGGAAGCCAGGAGAATACAGTACTGAATTACGTAAAGGAGGAACCTCAGAAATGTGAAGCATTAGCTCTCTTACCTGGAACAGTGCTGCCTGGCACACATTTTATACTTTATTCTCACTGTTTCAGTGGAGATTCAATCAAGATTTACTTTTAAATCAAGATTCAGCCTTAATTTAGATATTTTAAGTTCTTAGTAAAATAATATGATTAATTTTAGGCCCTTTGTTTACAAGAACAATGAAATGTCGTCTTTTTTAGTGGTTTTTAATTTTGCACCTGTCGACAGCTGACAACTCTTGTCATCCTAGGTCAATGGCGTGCAGCTTTACGGGAAGTCTCGCCGAGAAGCAGTCTCTTTTCTTAAAGAAGTACCTCCACCGTTTACCTTGGTTTGCTGTCGCCGACTGTTTGATGATGAGGCTTCAGTTGATGAGCCTAGAACCATGGAACCTTTACTTCTCGAGGCAGAGGTATGAAGGGCTGTGTGCTTATTACATGTGTCCTTTTACCTGGGGCACTCCAAAGAGAGTGTTCAAATATAAAGAGGGGCTCCTACTCCCTCCTGCTCTTTTTTTATTTGACTAAGCAACAGTGTTGAATGTTTCAAATTCTGTTTTATATTTTATTTGCATTTACATCTATATTTGGATTTCTAGGACTCCCTGAAAAAAATTTTTTTTGGTTTTACGAGACAGGGTTTCTCTGTATTGTTTTGAAGGCTGTCGGTCCAGCCCGGCCTTGAACTCACAGAGATCTGCCTGCCTCTGCCTCCCAAGTGCTGGGATTAAAGGCGTGCGCCACCACCGCCCGGCTCTCCCTGAAAATGTTAAGACACTGATGTATATCAATCTGAGTATTTATTTATTTATTTATTTATTTATTTATTTATTTATTTATTTATTGAGACATTTCTCTGTGTTGCTTTGGTGGTTGTCCTGGAACTCGCTCTGTAGACTAGGCTGGCCTTGAACTCACAGAGATCCACCTGCCTCTGCCTTCAAGTACTGGGATTAAAGGCATGCACCACCAACGCCCGGTTTCTTAATCTGATTTTTAAAACTCTTGTAAAAATACAACTATTTTTAAAATTAATTGCCTGGACTCATGGCTTTTCACTTCTATTTCAACTTATTTTATCCTAACAAAGTCTTGGTGTTGATGAGTATTGACTATCTTAGTGGTCCCTTTTGAGAACCTCAAGCATATGAAGAATTCTGATAAGTTTCAGTGTGGGTTTACAAGCTACCATAAATGCGCAAGAGTCAGAGTATGGACTGGCATTTCCTCTGCTGTTATATGTCTTGTTTTCGGAGTGCTGTAATCTGGGAAGGAACTGTGAAAGCCTGTGCTGTCATCACATGCTCTTTGGAGTTTTATCTTTATGCTACTTTCCCTCCTTTCCAGACATGCATGGCCTTTCCTTTTACTTACCCACGCTTTGACTTATAGTTCAACTGCGTTCATCTTTGAAGTTGTGTGAACTTCCTACATAGTTTGTGCATCTTTGACCAGATGACCTTGACTTCTGTTTCTACTAGGACGAATGCTGTGGTGGTTTGAATGAAAATGGACCCAATACACTTATTTGTTTAAATGTTTGGTCCACAGTTGGTAGAACTTTTTGGGAAGGATTAGGAGGTGTGACCCTGTTAGAAGTGGTGTGTCACTGGGGACCGGGTTAGAGGTTTTCAAAGCCCATGCTAATGTCAGCCACCTCCCTCTCTCCCTGTGACTTACACTTGTGGATTAAGATATAAGCTCTCAGTGACTACTCCAGTCCCATGTCTCCTGTTCCCCGCCATAATGGTCATGGATTCACCTTCTGAAATTGTAAGACCCAAATAAACTCTTCTTTTATAAGTAGCCTTGGTCATGGTGTCTCATCAAAGTGGTAGAAAGGTAACTAAGACAAATGGTACTGTTCACAGAACTTTAACACTCAGGAGCTTATGTGAGAAGGAAATAAAGTAACATGTGCCTGCAAGTGGTGAGCTCCATGAATGTCAGTCCTGTCCAATGTGTTTGTTTCTGATTGCCTAAATTACAGAAAAATCTAGAACTGTCTTATAGTCTAGTGCTGTGCTATAGATCCTTTAGCATGGATATATCTTGCTTTTTCAAGACGATGGTCAACTCTTTAGGAGCGCAGGCCATTTCTTAAAATTTTCTGTAATCTCATGTTGCCTTTATTCTGTACACATAAGAACTAGTTTTGATTGACAGCTCCCCCTCCCCCCCGACAAGGTTCACGGTATAGCCCAGGTTAGACTAGGACTGGCTGGCTTTTATCCCGTCTGGATTCTTTCTTTCTATCTATCTATCTATCTATCTATCTATCTATCTATCTATCTATCTATCTATCTATCTATCTTGATGTGCATTGGTGTTCTGCCTGCTTGTATGTCTGTGAGGCTGTCAGATCCCTTGGAACTGGAGTTACAGATAGTTGTGAGCTGCAGCCATATGGGTGTTGGGAATTGAACCCTTGTCCTTTGGAGGAGCAGCCATTGCTCTTAATTGCTGAGCCTGAGCCATCTCTAGCTGAGCACACCCTCCCACATACCCCTTCCGCACGCTTTGAATTAATAATCATAATCCTGCCTTTGTCTCTCCAGTGCTGACATTATAGATTTGTGCCTCTGTGCCTGATTCCTGTTTTAATATAAAAGAAGAAAAATAAATTGACATGGCATATGCCTTTCATCTCAGCACTTGGGAGTTCAAGGCCAGCTTAGTCTACATATGAAGCTCCAGACCATCCAGGAGCTCTACACATTAAGGTCGTAATTGAAAGAAAATAAGAAATTTCAAGGAAAGGACTCAAGATACTTTGTGACTTTTACTGGTTTTAGTAAACTGAAGTATGTGTGGTGGCCTCCTTGTGAAGCTGGATAAAAATGCTTTTAGTTTAGCTTTACCAGGTGTAAATCATCAGCCCAGCTTGCTGACTCTGTGCTCCCATCCGTCATACTGCACAGTGATGAACAATAGCCTGAAGCATGCCAAATGTTAACAGTGCGGCCTGTTAGCTGATTGCTTTCTGTTCTGTAGACTGAAGTTATACAGAATTGATGTATCAGAGTGACAGAGTCCAGGGTGGTGCGGAATGTGTACCCAGGGTGCCATGACCTTTTGATAAACTTAGGCTTTGTGATTTCTTGAAATGTCAGTTCCTTTTCACTGGTTCTCTCTCTGTTTTTCATTTACCTCAAAGCTATCATATTCTTTTTGCAAAAATGTAATTTTTATGTGTACATATGTGTGTCTTTGTGATCATATGGTGAGTATGTGTCTTTCGAGGTCAGAAAAGGGTATTATATGTACTGGTGCTAGAGTTACAAGCAGATGTGAGCTGCCCTTTGTAGGTACTAGGAACAAAACTTAGGTCCTCTGGAAGAGCAGCAAGTGTTTTTTTTAACACATCTTTCCAGTGCTGTCTTATATTGGTAAAGTGTCTGCTTCGGTGGCATAGCAACAGTTCACTTATCAGTAAGTGTGCACCAATATTATACCAATCATATGAATCTTTGGAACATTTTGTTGGAGGATGGTAGTATTTTCTTTTTAAAATATCCCTTCCCAGGTGAGTGGAATGGCTCATCAGGTTTCAGTCCCAGAACCCATGAAAGGTAGCAGAGAGAACTGAGTCTACTGAATTGTCCTTTAATCACTACATGGATGCCATAGCACATGTGTCCACACATATCATAATCATGTTTTAAGTAATGAATCAAATAATTCCTCACATCAAGCTGGCATATGTGGAGATTAGCAATGGAGAACATTCCCTCATTTCAGCTTTGGCCAGTCAAGAACCAAGAAATTGTTCCCATGTTTAGGTTCTGTCCAGCTTAGATTATGTGTTCAATATCCTGCAACAACAATTTGAGGTCTGAACCAATTCTAATTTTGAAAGTGGTTTTGTTATTCTTTCCCATTTTGGAGTCCTCCCATTAATACCATTGAGTGGATTTTCTTACACCAGTTATGTCTGTTTGTAGAAGCGATACAGTTTCACTTTGTCAAAATTTTAAGAATTCTGCTTTGAAAATTTGTTAGTCATATATGTGGTTCATGCCTGTAATTCTAGTACTCAAGAGACTGAGACAGGATTTCTGTGAATTTAAGGCCAGCTTGGGCTACATAGTGAATTCCAAACTAGCCTGAACTACAGAGTGCGACCCTGCTTCAAAAAACTAAATTGTTAATAGTCTGTGGAAGGACAAGATATTTGTGGAGAGATTAATCAGTACAAATCAATGCAGTGCTATAAATAAAACTGAAGACATTGGAAGCAAGCAATGTCCCACGTAGTAGATGAGTCTCATTTAACTTCACTGTTTCTGAAAGGACAGGAGTCTAGAAAAGCGGGATGTCAGAGTATGGGAATTAACAAAGTGTGCTGGGTGCTTGTGCTAACTCATTTTCTCTAACATCAGATTATTCGTGGTTCTACTTGGAGAATCACACAGTGCTCAAGGAGTTGGTGGTGGCGGCTGCTGGTGCTGCTGTACCTCTACTGCCCCAGCCATTGCCTCCTCTCTTCTTCATTTTTCCTGTATTTTTCTAGGAAAACTACCTTCTGAGGGCCACCCTGGCTGGCCTTTCTGTCTCTAAAATTATGACTACAGTATTGACTTTAAAACATCTGTGTGTCCCTACTTTGCATGAAGTTTACATTTTTACTCAAATTACCTATTTTTACTTTTATGCTTCTAATGGGATGCCAGAGCTCATTGAAGTATAAGAGGTCAGTGTTAACACTTGCAGTGAAACCACTTGAGAAATGTGTGAGAGACCTGCAGTTCTGGATGCCTGAATGTTTATGAAGCTTTGATCATGATTGTGAGTACCCAGTGCATGCCCCCTTTAAAGAGACCAAAAGCTGTCCAAGCATGCCACAGAGATGTCCCAGTTTGAAAAGAAACTGAGTTCTTTTCAGAACAGAAAGGACAGCAGCTCCAGGGTTTACCTTCTCTGTTCTTTCAGGGTGACCGCAGTGTAGATGTCAGCGCTGAAGACGACGATGATGGGGAGTTGGCCCTGTGGTCCCCTGAAGTCAGGATTGTAGAGCTGGTGAAAGACTCTAAAGGCTTGGGATTCAGCATTTTGGATTATCAGGTATAGGAGCCCTTGAGAGGGATTTTTGTTTAGGTTTGAAGTTTTGTTTTGTTTTGCTTTCAGAACTTTTACAAATATTTTACAAATATGTTATTGAAACATATTTTATGTACAATGAAATACACCCATTTAGAGTATTCACCTAGGCTGTTTTAGTGTTATAAGTTATACAATCATTAACACGTTCATAATAAGTTCCATAAAGAAACTCTGGGAAGCTGAAGTGGGAGGAACATAAATTTAAGAAGATAAGTTTGTACTTAAGTGCCAGTCTTTGTCAGGTAATGAGATCCTGTCTCCAAAGCAGAAGCAAAAAGAAACTCTGTACCCATTATCAACATTCCCAACTCTCATGTTTCTATCCTTCCTGCATGTGAAGGCTTTTGTGGATTTGCTTATCTGTCAGTCTCCATGAATGTAAGTAGAAACATTCTTGGTGAAGTTATTTGCTGATGGATGCATAATACTTTTGTAGTTAAATATTTATTATGAATCAAGTTCTAGCTAGAGTAAGGCTACTAATACAGGATTGGGAGCACTGGAACACATAGTAGGAACACTGGAGTGCATAGCAGGACACCTGCATTTTATAATGTCTTACCACCTGCTGGCTGCTCTTGGACTTCTGGTTATTGAGGAGAATTAAAAGCTGTTAGACAACAAATCCCTTTGCTACTAAGATGTTCACTTTAAAACTAGTGTGACTTAAACACAATGTTAATGTCCTCTGTCAAAGCATATAAAATGCAAAATTATGTAAGACCGGATTTAAAAATTACATGTATTTATTCACTCATTCATTCATACAGTTGTGTGGGTATGAGTAGCGCCCATGTGAAGTCAGAGAGCAACTTGTGGGAGTCAGGTTTTCATGCATTACATTGGCCCTGGAGATAACACTGAAGCAGTCAGACTTGGCAGTAAGTGCGTTTACCCACAGAGCTAGAATATTACCTTGAATCTGTTTTCTTTGTAAAGCTTCTATGTTTTATGGTTATAAATGTTTTGCCTGCCTGATCTATGTGCACCACGTGTGTTTTTGGTACCTGCAAAGGTCAAAAGAGGGCCCTGGAGTTACAGATAGTTGTCAGGTGTCATGTGAGTGCGGGAAATAAACTTGGTTCCTTTGCAAGAGCAACAAGTGCTTTTGACTGTTGATGCATCTCTCCAGTCCCTGAAATCATTCTAATATAATTAGGTGATAGAGAATAGATTATAAGAAAATACTTTCAAGATTGTATAAGATTTAAATTACTGATTTAAAATTCCTGTAATATATTATTCCATTTTTGCTGGCATATTTCTGTGCCAGATAGGCCTCTGCCCTTAGAATTTCCTTTTAGAGTATTATTGAATTAAAAATTGTTGATTTGAGCGAACATTTTGGGAAATAGTGTCATCAGGAAGTATCAAATAAATTTCTGGTAAGAACCCTTGGTTCCCTACCTATTGTAGAAGTGTCACCCAGCCTCTAGTATTTTGATCATAAAGGACTCAATAAAATTTAGGTTAGACAGAATTCACTGGAATTAAATGAACAAATGTCAGTGAGATTTATTAACCGTTTTGATTAAACACTTTTTAAATGCAGTCTTCGTGTTCAGTTACATTTCTATCATCTTAGAGATCTCTCTGTATTTTTATTGTTAATTAATAAACATATTATTTACTCAGTTTTTGGACCACACCACAGGCTTTAAATACATATTGATTTGTCTATTTTGCACGCTAGGGGCTGCCTAACTCAGAGTTTCATACATACCACCCAACAGTTGTAGCCCTGAGCTTCATGTTTTTAAGTGTTGCACTTCTTAAAGCAGAAAATTAACTTGTCAGCCTCTTTCAGTTTAATTCCTGTTGACGAGAAAGCTCTAATCTGTGCAAATAGGAATTGATTTCCGTTCAGGTTGTAAGATGTAATTTTGCTGCAAAAAATTCGTACTAGATAATTCTCTTTTTGTGTGTTTCTTGGATAACTGATAGAAAACTACTTTCTTTCCTAAGTGTTATTTTAATTCGGATAAACGGAGTCAGCTCCTTTTCTTCTATAGCCTAGCTTTGGAAGAGAAAACACCCACTTTTATGTTGGGTATTTTTCCTCAGTCAAATGTTACATGTTCTCACAGTTGTATACAGTACACTTATATCATTTGTCAGGGATATGAAAAACTTTCCCACTAAAAGTATTCAGATATGAAAATGCAATTTAAAATTTGATTTGTGGTAAATTAATTAATTTATTTAATTATGTGATCCTTGTAATCAGGTAACAATTTCTAAAGTTGAAAATTAGTTTTTGCAAAACTAAGTAGAGGTGTAGAGGTGTTCCTGGTAATTCCATATTTGATGTTGCTTTGTATACATTTTTAGGTGGCTGAGTAGGACTAAGGCAGATTGCTGCCCTCCTATGTTTAACATATCTACAATAAGTACTGTAGAAATATTTTTCCACAGCCTTTCTAGTCTTAGGAACATGGGGTAGTTTCTACATGGTAAGGACTTGTATTTGAGATGGATAGATAGTCTTCAAACCTTTGAAAAACCTGAGAAGGAAGCTAACAATACTAGGGTAGACCCTAAAGGTGCAGCGAAGACAGAAACAGCAGACTTTCTAGACAGTCACCCAACGTGTCACAGTAACATCAGGGCAATCAACTTTGGCTAAGGCCTAGAGAATCTGACAGACCATCTCACTCAGAAGCAGGAAAATTGAAAGACCGCCTCTTCTGGTAGCCTATCCTTCCTACCTGGCTACTGGCCAATGGGTGTTTTATTCATAAACCAATAAGAGAAATGTGTATACAGAAGGACATCCCCCATCAGGCCTGCATTGGCAGTATTGAAGAGTGTGCTTTTACTTTTGAGTACTCATTTCAGTTAACTGTTTTTTCCTAATTAATGAATTTTCCTCTTTCCCAAGAACTGAAAATTGTGCATATCTGTTTCCTTGACGTAATTTCTTATAGGATATATAGGATAGGGTACTAATGCCAAATGCAAAGATCATATGGATTAAGTGAATTTGTGTGTAGGGGAAAGAAAATCTTCTGTTTTTTTTGTTTTTTTGTTTTTTTTTGGTTTTTACGAGACAGGGTTTCTCTGTATTGTTTCGGAGGCTATCGGTCCAGCCCGGCCTTGAACTCACAGAGATCCGTCTGCCTCTGCCTCCCAAGTGCTGGGATTAAAGGCGTTCGCCACCACCGCCCGGCGAAAATCTTCTGTTACCATGAAAATGTGAGCATTGTTAACCATCATTCAGTTTAGAAAATCAGCACAACAGTTGTTGATACCTTCCTTCGATCTAGTGCCACTCTACAGTGTGTTTAAATTATATGCATTTTAACTTTATAGTTAAGGAAAATTGATTAGTAGATAACCTTTTTAGTGTAGTTTAAATTTAACCATGAAATTGTATTCAGTCATGCTACCAACTCGAGAGAGCCATGTGTAAGTTACCTGTGGGTTAGTGGTCAGAAGTAAATTTTACATGCATTTAGCTAAGCTTTATGAAATTATGAGTGAACAGATAAAGATCTTGAATTGATCCTTGGAATGATGGGGTGGATGGCTGTCTCAGCAGCTCAACAGTTCCTAGGAATGATGGAAGTTGTATATCAAAGGTGCCTGCTCTGAAGTCAAGGAACTGAATCTTATACAAAGTTCTGGAGAACAGTAATATGGCCAGGGAGCAAATGTGGGAATTCATGTTCATGAATTTTTAATAGACTTGGGCAAGGACAATGACAAACAGTAAATACAGGTTAGATTTTAAAATAAAGGTTTTATTGGCTGTGATTTAAGCAGAGATCAAGTCTGTCCCCCACAGATGTTGGCTAGAATCCTGTCTTGTGTGTTTAGCACACGTTCCTCCATATCTTGTAAGACTGGGTAGTAGACACAGTGCACTACAGCTTTATGACCACCTCTTCTTCAAAGCCTTAGAACACCTGGGAAATTTGGCCATAAGTTTAAAATAATTTAATTCAATTACTATTTGTGTCTGTGCGTGCGCACACACGCGCACACACACACACTTATATGCGTGTGTGTGTGCTTAAGCATGTTCCCAGGTGCATGAGTGCTATAGTGCATGTATGGAAGCCAGAGAACAACTTTCTAGAGTAGGTTCTCTCCTTACTGTGGAGTCTAGGATAGAAATTAGGTCAGGCTTCTACAGCAATCACTTTTGCCTCCTGAGCCATATTCTGGCTCTAGCTGTAAGTTTTCATAGCTTCTTTACTGTAGGTGAGGGCTCCATATTGTACTTTAGTTATCTTAGCTTTGTTTTTCTCCTTTTCTATATGCAGTGTCACCATTCCTTTGGATATTATTTCCATGAAATATTATTAATACTCATAATATCAGCACTAATATAAATATAACTGTAGTATGTGGCAGTTATTGTTCATTATGTGCTAAACCCATTTTACATATTTTATATATATTAGCTTATATATTTCTCACAAGAACCATGTGATTCCCACTTAATGAGTAAGGAAACTGAGGACAGATATATTAGGTGTTAAGTCTAAGCTCATACAATGGGAATGTGGTAGAAATGAGATTTGACCGCACGTAGTTAATCATAATATGATGTTATTCCTTCCTGAGGGTATTGTTTACATTTTTAAAATAAAGCATCACTATAGGAAATTGATTACAGTATTTTTTTTTGTTTTTCTAATTTGAAGTGTTTTTCAAAAAAGTAAGCTACCAGATAGCAGTCTCCTTTAGTGCTATATGAAAATTTAGTAAATATCAAGAATTAATTAATGCAGTGTGCCCATATGCACCATGTAAGAACTAGTGCTTGCTGATTCAGAAGAAAGTGACAGCTAGTTTGAAAGCCTGTTCTTACGGGTTAACATTTCTTAATATATCAGTTGGGTAGCTTGAGAGTCTGTAACTTCTGATTTCTACCAAAAAGCTTGCAAAGATTGAACTATATGGATTTTACCTTCAGTTGACCCTATAAATTAAATCGAGCAAGTGGATATTTT